TTTTTTTTTTTTGAAGTTTTGATTATTTTGTCATGCGTTGCTACCCTATATTGCGGTCTTTCATTCAAATCACAATTTCACCCTTCCAAGCTGATTCAATAATTGATTTTTTTATTTCAGTCCTATGAGACAGTTAATGAGGAGCTGGATCGACTAGACGCCAAAGGTATCAACATGACCGAGGAGGAGACGAGGAGGTATAGGTGAGTTTTTGGTCAATCGACATTTTACGTCTGATAATTTTGGCATATAAACATCTTAGTTAATGAGTAAGTAAATGGTAATGAACGAAAGTAGGGTGAGGGTTGGGGGGAGAAGGCAATACGAAATCTTCCCTCTGAAGGGTGAAACGGGTTTTCCGTAAATTCTTGGAACTTGTTCAGTGAAATATCTGACAAAACCAGAAGCTGTCCAGAGAGGGTTAAATACACTTTTTGATGCTATTTTCCTATGTTATCACCAGATGAATGGGATTGTTTAGCCGTTTTCGGTGTCTTCTGACCTGTTGGAGTAGGCGGGACATGGCAATTCCTTCACTTTGATTTTGAGCAAAAAAAGGGCTAAGACTGGTATTTTTAAAAGAATTCGTTTGTACGGTTGTGATAAATTCAACTTATACTTCGTAGGCTGCTTTTATGTCAAAACTATTTTCTCACCGTGTCTTGAATCGTTCATTTTCAACCGTCGCCCAAAGTCTCATGCCTTTCAGGGAGTTGCTCAATGTGGCCTCGGAGCAGTCACGTCGAAACGAGCAGAGGACGGCGGCGGTTGTAGCGCCAACGACCTTTGCGGTGCACAACTCGAATGGAGATGTGGGCAGATCGACTGGGAACCGCACCGAGACGCTGATCGATGATGTCGATAGTAGTCCTGGACGTAGTGCGATGCGGTAAGAGTTCCTATTGTTTGTAGATAGTTTTCCTGTTTGAGGTTGGAAGGTTTATTATTGGAATGTTAACGTGACAACTTTGATTTTCTAGCATTATTGTGTTGTAGCTAGCTGCTAATTACGGCTTTTCCGAGCGTTTTCAAATAGTACGGTTCCTTTTCAATATATCGTATTTTTGAGTTTTTCTTTCAATAAATGTTATGGCTTTTTTGAATACACTAAAAACGTTTTGGAAGGTTGAGCGGAGTGATCGGATTGATCGGTCTCCCTGTCAGTGCGTAGCTTTTTCTTCAATGATTACCAAAACTCAAGCTCACAGTCCCGCTTTCGATACTTCACCTTGTAGTTCTACCCTGAAAGCTTGAATGCTCACAAGTTAACAACGTCATGAGAATTTTGTTTTCAGGGAAAACATCTCCCCAGGTGATTCATACGAGCGGAAATCGGTCCAATTCAAAGAGACAGTTACTGTGAAGGAGACGGAAATTCTGGATTCTCCATCGGTAATTTTCAATTCGCTCTAGTTTTCTTGATTCTATTTCTGTCAACCAGAAAAATAGGGCTGGAGGAAAGGGCGCGATTCCAGTGGGATTGGTTGCAAATTGATATCTTTAACATTGAAACATGCTTACTACTTGAATTTTACTTGAATTTTCACTGGCCATACTTCTGATGAAGGAGATAGCCGCGTTGCGACCGCGCGCTTGCATTTCGATAATTTGCAGCTTCTTATCTGTAGAATAGATGGCTTCTTGTTGTGGTTTTCTTTCAAGTACCTTTATTTAATATTTGATCTTTCTAGAACTCTGAATTCATTTTAGATTTATGGGACGAACGAAATTTATCGCGATCCACGACAACAACGATTAAATGAATTACAGGTTAGCGATCAATAATTGATCAATAGTAATTATATTGAAACTATCAACTCATAACACAATTGGAGATAAGTTTTGTCATTTCTATTCATCGAAATGAGTGTTTTATATTTTTATCATTTTTGTTCATCAAAATGAGTGTTTTATCCCTGTTTACGTTAGTAAATAAGGTATTGACCGTGCAAGATACTCGTTTGATGCCTTGAGACAGCATAGAAGAGATGTTTGTTGTTGATGAGACACTTTTTATTTTTTAAAATTCATTAGGTTATCCGTATTTGAAAACGTCTGTTATTTACTATTTTTTGAACTGTTAGTTATAAGGTTTTATTCAGGAGCGACAGGAGACACGAGTTCCAGACGGTCTGGGATTCCGAGACAAAATGCGTATGTTTGCCACACAGCTCGGTGAAGGGACGCCGAAGGCGCGATATAGCGCTAGCAGCGCTGAACGACAGATCGAGAACGAGCAGTAGCTGTACTGTAACTCTGTCGTCTATAGTCTGCTTCTTGGCTCTCCTAGCGTCAGCCCTAGACATATTCTTCTCCTTAGAAGACGCTGATGTCTAAGAATCTATCCAATTTGGCTTCAGCCCAAGAACCACGACGCAGCCGCTCGTGTGGTGTAGCATTGCTGTGGAATACTAGTGTCCGTTGCGGCTAACACAGTCATCTTAGTAGTAGTTGTTCGGTTTCTGCAGGCGCGTCAGCAATCGATTTTTTGTTTGACGCAGCGCGACCGCGACGCTTGACTTAGCTGATGGAAATGTTTTCAGCTATTTATGAGACGTTTGTACATTTCATATATTATTCGGATCGCAAATTTTTTTTACCATTTTACTTAATGACGTCACTTTGGCTGTGCCTTTTCTAGCTGTGTACAGTTTTACGCCTAGGAATGTTTTAAAAAGAGAGTTTAATTTGCATCTGTTACATCTACTTACACTGTCATTATATTTTTTTAAAATTGTATTTAATCAATTACGTGCAATTTGTACTGGCTTCTAACCAGATTTTATTCAGCATTAATTTTTGTTCATGTGAAATAATTATTCCCCCGTATTTGTGTAGTTTTCTACAGGTTGTTTCGTTGTTTCGCTCACTCGACTGAATCCGCCTTCCAGACAAGCCTTTTACCGCCTAATAACCTAGAAAATCTCTCAGTAATAAGTCAGGATGACGTCGAACGTTCGACCAATGAGAAATCGAGGTTCCGCCCACTTTAGGGGCGGTACCCTGATTTCCTATTGGTCGACGATATCCACGAACCATTCTTGGGCAACTAGTAAATTCCTGGAATGTCATTCATTTAGGCGGTTCTGATAAGTTATTTGCTCTACCGAATCGATAATTTGATGGCCACTAAATTGCCTTAATACGCTTAACCTCTGTTTTCCGTTAGATTTCTCTGCATTCATATGGTCAGTGTTTATTGCGTGCAGCTGTTTTTTCATAATGTACAACAAACTGTCATCAATCATATTTTTTTGTAGAATACGATAGTCATTTTGTATCATATTACGCAGATTACGGTGGCAGTACGTACAGTACTACCGAGTTGGTAGTTTGTAAAAGTAAAAATTGATATGATATATGATGATGATGTCATGATAAATGAAAATTAATTGCTTTTGTTGATGTCACTAGGTAGTAGACGTTGTTGTGCGACCCATTATTTCCTAAGTAGTGTTTAAATTGAAAAAGCTGGTAGTTTGGATGCATCACTGTTTGGCTGCTTTCATAGTCCACGATTTGGCCCGTGAGCGAGCGATCGAGCAATTGGGGCTGCGCTTGTCCGCGGTATCGACCAAGATTCAGTTGTAGACAAGGATCAAGTGCCGCCCCAATCGCTCCATCACTCGCTCGTGGGCCAACCGTGAAAGCAGCCTTCAGAGTTGAGACGATCCTGAGCGATCAATATCTATATTTTCTGCAAGGCCCTGTTCATCCTGTTCAGCTGTTCAGTGTCGTCTAGCTAGTGTTCAGGTTATGAGTTAAGCTACCCTACATTTGATAGATTGTAAGATAGTAGCCAGGGTGAACGAAAAAAGTGCTGGGGATTTGTGAAGGATGTCCAAGCGGGTGGGGAATCACCAATGGTACGTGTATGCGCGGATGGCAGTGGGAAAAGGGCTCAGAACCCTCGCCGTTGTACACGCTCCACTGAGATTGAGGGCAATGGTACAATGGTGTTGGTACTTCTTCCCGAATGCTCCCGAAAAGCGGCTGTGGTCCCGCGGCGGCCACTGGAAATTGAAACATCTTCAGCGCGCGATCGAGTGCAATGAGCGCGACGCGATTTCCGGGGAGAAGGTACCACCCCAATGGCACATCATCGCAGCTGTTTGGCTTTCAGTCGAGTTAGTTAACGATTCGAGTGTATCTATAAAAAATAGGCAACCCTTCAATGCCAGATAGACGTGACTTCTACACTACGGTGATGATTCTGTTAGTGAACTAGTAGGCAAATTAGAAGTGATAGAAGTTTATTGGCAGCTTTATACGTTATCACTGACCAAGTCCCGTTTGTTTGTAGCTCAACCGGTTATACAGTAGTTTCCGGTGTAGAGGAGAGTTTATAGCGTCGAAATCGTAACGTGATACCGTCTTCGCTTTGTGTGGCACCTTCATAGTTTGACTGCGTCATCGAGGGAGGAGCTGCTGTGGTGGAAGGTTTCTCTCCCGTAGCAACTCGTCCATTTGTCTGTGGGCGAGCATCGACGTGTCGAATATTCTCGGCCGATTTAGTCACATCAAAACGAATGCTCTTCGAGTTGACCGCTTCCTTCCGCTGTTTATCGAATCGTTTTTCGGGATGTCGAAGACAGTAGTTCTGTGGTTTTGGTGACGGAGGCAAGTCAGACCACCTGAAGAAAAGTGGATAAAAGAGGATTCTGATTAGAATGAACTGAGATATTTCATTTGACGCGAAGTTGAACTAAGTGCAAGAGAAGAGAGAACTTATAGTACAGTGTAGTTCTTATAGGGTAAAAAAGACTCTCGTCGTCGTCGTCGTCTAAAGCGAAATTGGGTGAAATATGAGGGCGGAGCGACATAAGGTAAGGGCATCAGAAGCCATCAGTATACTTCAATGATTCAGCTTTTATCTCCTAGAAAGGTTCTTCGAGATGAGATAGATCTGTGAGGATCAATAGTGTTAACTTCGAAAGGTTTTTTCTTCGTTTTTTCCCCTTGGGGAAACTATACCTAGTCTAGAGCCATGAATCAGGGTCCTTTTGCTGGGTAATGGTAAAGTGCTCTCCCTTGGTTCACTTCATCCCGAACCTTTTCCTCCCAACGTTACCTACTTTGGTTTTGTTGACATTTACTGAGGACTCCTACTGTACTGACTAATGGTGAAGGGAGGATGCACATGAATCTATTTTAAATCAGGAACATTGCGAAAAATTCCTGGACATGGTAAATATAGAAACTTATACGAGACCTCATTATTTAGTTCTGAAGCAGTTCCTAGGGCCATTTGTTCGTAAAAGCGAAGCGGTGTAGGGACAACTTGTGCACTATCCCACACACATTGTGCCTAAGCCAGCCAAGGGTCGGATAAGTAGTACCAGATTCGTCTCGAGGAATAAAAGCACTGACTTGTACATTGGCTGGTCACCGTAAGTCCTTAAATGGATCACATACGCACTCAAACGATTCTGAATGGCGATCGAATACGGGGCGCATCCCAAAACAAAGAGAATCGGTCAACGAGGAAGCCTGTATCCTTTATCTTTTCATTTTTAGTAAAAGTAGTAGTTGTTGTTGGCATTATGTAGGTCACTTTCTAGAAAAGTCGGTGATCAAATGGCCTGATCAATCCTACACCGCTCAATGTCGATTCCAGGTCGGCTGGGTCGGTCGGATCCCGGTTGTTTATGTAAATTTGTTGTTGGTAAATATATGCCTAATACGCCTCCCTCTTTCTACTTGTTCCACATCATAAAAGTAATGTAAAACTACTTTTTTCCAGACATAGCCTACTGACATGGCTGACAGACTTACCGTTCCTTCTCGATGGTCTGATTGATTTTCCGCCAGAGGATTTCTGGTGATGTTTGTGGTTGTTCCCGTCTGTCCGTGGCACATATCCGAATCAACGTCTCGTCTTCTTTTTGAGGTTTGAGGTCCTTAATCATTGGTTTTTCATTTTAACTGTGTGGTCATTCTTGAAATCCTCCTTTACAAATTCATTGAATCGAGTGTTGTCATGAGCTGGTTGTAGCACCCAAAATTTTGTCAAATCCTGCTTTTTTTGGTTCGAAAGCAAGAGTAAGCAAAAAGTGAAGAACCATGGGTCACACCCTTNNNAGAGACTACACAAGGGCAGCTCGGGTATGGGTACATGGACGCGGCAAATCGCGCGGCAAAATTCGTGGTGGTTAACACGGCTTTGGTGCCTATCATTGAGGCCCGGGTTCCAAGTAGATTGGATAAGTAGGGCCAGCTGATGCTACTTATCTATCCCATTTCAAATTTGTGCCCCAATGATAGGCGCCAGAGTCGTTCTAATCGAAACGGATTTCGCCGCTCGATTTGCCGCATCCATCCAGTTCTGGGTGAATGTTCCGTCCCCCGGGCAGCTTCGGTTGAAAATCAGTTTTGAAAAATGGCGGCTTGCTGAGGGGGCTTGAATTTCGCTCTCAAAGGCCAAGAAGAACCAAATACTAGGATGGAATGGATGCTTCATGAGATACATAATGTTTTACCTTACTTCTTATATAGTCGGTTAAGTAGATTTTCTTATCACTACTTGCTCCCAGTCCTCTGATACCACGATTAACCCTTGGAGCCGATAGATTGAGCATTTTTGATGGGTCAGTAGTGTGGTTTAGNGGGGGGGGGGGGGAGGAATGAAGCTAACGATCGTTCGACAACAATCACCTCGACGGTATCACCTGATCAAATACATATGCATTTAGGTAAAATCCAACTAAAATCCTACTTCCATTACCTATTTCAAATCAGATTTCTTCTCATTCTGTTTTTCTCAGTACTACAACGTCTATGGTAACCACATTTCATCATTTCGGATAAAAGTAGCGGAGTGGGAAGTGAAAACACTGAAAAGCAGTGAAGTGAGTGGCCGTGACCAGTCCGAATGCCCTTCTACCTGGTCCATGGTAAGAGAGCACTTTCTGGGAAAGAGGAACCAATGGAGTTCATATGGTACACACGATGAAAAGGGTTCTGAAAACCTTAAATATGGATTCAAGTCCTGACTAAGTCAGAAAACCTGGCTTAATGGTCGTTACAACTACAGTCTACAAAACCAACATAGGGTATCAGAAATAAAATGATTATTGGATCTGAGAATGTTTGGAAGATTGGTAGTTTAAGTTTCGATAGTAATAATTGTAAGACTAATTTTTCGTTCCCATATTTGAATTTATGATTAAAAATTCAGAGGCTACGATTAAAAGTTCTAAAGGAACTTGTGGAATATCCGGAGAATAAATAATTCTTCAGCTCTAAAAAACAAATTGCACCTGACTTACTTTCATGCTTTTACTTCGATTGAAAAACCATCCTCCTTTTTTCTTCTCTTTTTCCTTGTGGGGAGGTTTTTCTGCAGAAGACGTGGTGGCTTTGCTTGCAGAATGGTTCTTGCCTGAAGGTGAAGTGTTCTTGGTTGGAGGTGGATCATTCGGTACCGCAGAATCTTTGCTGTCATCATTTTTTAATCCTAGAAATATAGGAGAAGAGTAAGTTCGGCTACGGTAGTTTGAAGGAAAATAAAGAAAAAGGCTGAGGGTCTAGGTGGCAGAGGTCAACGAACCATCTATTCGCTCGCTTTCCTTGTGGAGATATTCAGCCCATGAGGTGCTGGCAGCCAGCAGATCGTCCAATGTCACATTATCGTACGATGGACTGTCTGTGAACGTGCGCAGCGTTTCACGACATGCCTCTGTCGTCACGGAAGAAATGACACAGTTTGGAATTGCATCGCAGTCGGTGGTGGTAGTCTCATTGAACAACGGCGAATCGGCAGCTGGTTGTGGCTGAAATCATGGAATTTCTGGGTGGCATTTCCCTTTTTTGGAACTCAAAAGTTCATAGCCATGTTAGTGTGGAGGTGCTGTAGACACTGTGAGGGTTCATTCACACTCTCAAACTCTCTCACCTCATTCGCTATCAGGTCATACAGTTGCTGCTGTAATTTTTGATAATTTTTGATGATAAATCGAAGTAAACCGTAATCGAAGTTGAACTGTCACCGTACCTGACTGAGGATCGGCTTCATGAATGCCGCTTTGGGTAACTCGGGTGGAATACCTTCCAAACCGTCATCCTTCTGTTCATTCGTTCTTGGCTGCAAGGAAAAAGTGGCCGTTACGGTCTCTTTCGCAGGCACAATCACAGTCAGTTGATTCGGATCCTGATCCGGGTTGGAGGGCTTTCGAATCGGAGCATAATCCTCTTCGACTGGTTCATGTTTGGAGGCTTTTTCGAATGGATCCAGGGCATCAGACCATTTTACAGAGTATCGTTCACTGGTCGAAGGGTCGCGAACCGAATGACAGGAAGATTTCAGTGGCAGTTGGCGAGGTTCCGAAGTCTCTCGACTACTGCTACAGCTTTCCGAAGAAGACGGCTGAGATGTAGGCGGTGTCCGCCATTCCGCAGGAGGGATCTAAAAGAATATCACTTAGAATACAGAATTTGCTTTGATTATGGGTGACTTCAAGTACGGCATTTGAGGATGCGCCATGTACGCGCTTTGAGCAAGGAATAGAGAAGAGGCTGACTCAGAGGCGAGCTCATTTTTTATCATGTCCTGATCAGTAGGCCCCAAGTACATCCTCGATTCGATGTAAACTATCAGTGAAATACGAAATACTTCAAATCAAAACGGGGATTAAATAATTAACCGTCTCATTAGTAATATCATTTGTCGTAGCGTTTTCTAAAACGCTGCTTCATGTTCGTGTGGGAAGAATGGCCGCATTCCATTGGTGCCATACAAAGGACCTATTGTTAGCTTATTTGGCTATGTTTACGCGTTTTAATTGTAAATAACAGATCTGTACGAGCAACCAAACATAGACAAATATCGCTACTCCAGTAATAATGAGGCAACTCCATACAGTAGAGTTTTTTTGCGATTCTGAGGCGAAAGTAAAGTACATGGCGCATTCCGCAGGATTGATGAAGCTAAGGGTCATCAGAACATCTCCTTGTTCGTTTCACTATTTCCATTATAACTCACCATACTGCTTTTGTATTTTTCACTAAGCTTTTCGGAACTACTTCGTTGAGGCGGTTCGGGTGGGACTTCATCGGTGCTCCTTCTTGAAAATGAAATACAATGTGAAGAAAGCTTCTGCAAAAAAAGGGGTGGTCCATACCCAGCTCTGCATGAGGTGCTCAAATTTGGAGCAGACGCCGTAGATATACCAGAAACGCACTGGTCATAATCATAGTCCCTAAATTTGTGTAACTGTTGATGTTGATGAATTGTGGTTGTGTTTACGCTAAAAGTGTAAACAGAAACGGCTTCAAAATAAACATAAATAGGATTAAAGAACTTACGGCGACGTTCTGTACAGATTATTTTCAATTATATACTCTATAACATCATCATCCAAACAGTATTTGACGGATTCGCCACGTCGTAGCGCGGTCCTACAGTGAAAATACCGTATCAGTTCGTTAACGAGGTACCACTAAATAACACCTTACCTGATCCGAGAACAACGGAGATCGTTCGGGAATGTTTCATCTTCGATTACGTAAATGTTTTTCTGAAAATACAATGGTCGTCTTATCTTTATTCTGGACCTACCTGGAAAACCCTGAAATCAGGTAGCTTACCTGATATTGTCTGAGAATATCCGTGAGGTAGATTGTTTGTGAGGGGTGTGTTCGACCACGTTTCAGCACAATTAAACCGTGTCGTTGGAGAAGCTCCCTGATCTGGGATTTGGGATATATGTGGGGCTTTATAAAGGGCAGTAAACCATGTTAAAGGCACAGTTCACGAAGATTTTGAGGTACCCGTTTTTATTCGAAGAACGGAAGTATAGTTTGGGAAGAGTCCATCGGTAGCGAAGATAGCTGGAGAATTCTCCAATTTCGAGAAAAATATGGCTCCCCAAAAGTAGAGAAAATAGAGGTTGGACGAGATTGCCATGACGAAAATAACATGGAAGGGCTATTCGGACGAGATTTCAGTCATTGCAATTGCACAAAGAGGTGACTACATCAAGCCAAAACTATACAGCACTCTCTTTGCCTGTCGCTATGGGTCATGACAAGTTGTTTGAACTTCCTACATGACTCCCTTGTGATCGGTGCAGCCTCTACAATGCCGGTGAAACTCTTCCGAGGATACACACTAGCCAATCTCCGAGCCCTTATAACTCCCTAACTAGGCGGTTCTACGAGCTAATAGAGCAAGATATGGCATGCGCGGGGACCTCAAACTCTTCCTGTGGGAGAATCTCAGAAATCACTTTTATCGTGAACTGTGCCTTCAACTATTGTTACTTAACATTGTAACTCTACAATTATTACCATTATGACGAGTTTATAACTTTTTTTGTTAAGATATTTAGCTTGAAGTAAAAAAAATAGAAATACGAAGAAATATAAAAAAAATTGATAGGTAAAAAATTGAAAAAATAAAAATTCAAAACATTGAAAATTTGAAAATAAAGGATTCGAAAAATAGGAGTATCTTATATGTTACCTCATTGTGAGTCCAAAGTGGTGGCGTATTCGGTTTAATAGAGACCAGTTCATCGAGTACCTCACTTCCACATACGTATAGGACCCGAATAGGTTCATCATGTTTTTGTGATAACTTCTAAAATATGTAAGCTGTCATTCAGAATGGTCATGAATACGGTAATACAGTAGGAAGGAACGCCAATTTCAGGGGGTGCGGTTTGTATCAGATACTTTCCTGAGTGGCCAACCCTCTAGGTGAGACCAGGGGATGGAGGGAGGGAGGGGGAGGATGAGGGTGGAGGGGCAGGGCATGTTGTACTTGGATCCTCTCATTCATAGTATGAGTGGATACAGGGCATTTGGATACACAAATTGAAAAATCTGCAACTCAGGCTTGGTCTGTCCTGTAACTAATAGGTTTTGCATCTCCCCGGGTAGGAGGCCATCAACCAGTCGACGATCAAGACGGGTTTTTATTTGTTCCATTATTTGCTATATTTTTATATTTTAATTTATATTCATCTTTATTTTCTTCCGAAAAAAACCTCAGATTTACCTTTTGATAGTGCTTCAAGACGGCTATTTGTCGTACAGGTGTTCGTTGACTGCACTCAAAATCTCCAGCACTGCAAAAAGAGAGCTTTACTCTGAAGGCAGCAGAAATAGTAAGAAACCAAATTTTTTAATTTTCTCTTTCCTTCCTATGAGAAGAAATACTCAAGAAGAAAGAAGAAAAATATACAAAAGATTTATCGGGTTTTTTCTTCTTTCTCCTTTCTATGAGAATATATATAGAGAATAGAGGCTTAGATCTGTTAAGGCTGTTTGTCTTCATTCAAAAATGATTTTTCAAAACTAGTATTAGCACCGNTTTTTTTTGATAAATAAAAACCTGTAAATCAATCTCCACAGTTCAATTGGAACTAAATTGGACGCTGAAATGACTATGTAGCATTGCTTACACCTGTGACGCTTGTGGGCGACATTACTATATTTTTGAAATACTGAACGGAAGTTAGATTTATAGAAAATGAAGTTCGGAAATCGATATGATATCGATAACGTATAAACTATGTATAATTATGTATATATTTGTCTAATTATTTACTTATTCATTTATTTACTGTCAAAGATCAAAGTTATATGGTCTATTGTAGCATGGTTAGTTTGCAAAGAAATAAGAATTCCGAAAATACAAATAAAAATTCAAATATGTTAGTAAAAATCACCCAGGACAAACTATACTTTCTTTTTATGTAACAACAGCACAGAGGTCAATCCCAAATGCCGAAAACCGCTCGTGTTACGATAATAGTTTGAAAGAAACGAAAGGAGATTTAGCCCACTGAAGTCCATGAAACTTTTGAACTTTTAGTTTAATAATTTTTTTGTGTGTAATAATCTAGTTTTCTTTTCGAGGTTCTGTATAGTGGCAGTAAAATGCAACTCTCTGGAGAATAAGCGCTACCGTATCCAGAAGTTTCTTCTCACAGCCGTTTCGACCATTCTTAATCGATGCTTAGCAGGTGTGCAAGTCGTTGGCGAGTCTGCTGAGACGCTCATGATCCCCTGCAACTAGAAACAATGAAGTTGTTATGATAAATGACTGACAAACCGATCAACTCAGAGGTGAAAAAGCTATTTTTGTCAAGTACGAGGTCCCTCGAGCGTAAAGCATCGCACTTTCAACAACAAGAAATGATGAAGCTTCCGCATTTTCTCAGCGCATGCTTGTGGAAAACACATATCGATTGTTCGCGCGCGCAAAATCAATACCCGTATGTAGAATGTAGAATGAAATCAGGCGCTAAATTACTGCATTATAAATAATGAAACAAGTTAATGAAATGTTCTTGATTATTAGCTGGATCATTTCGGCTATAAATTTGTAAAATTATAAAGTAAATATGCTAAATGGCAGACTTTATGCACTTCACTCTTTTTTTTCAATACTCGTAAGGCTTGAATCACTCACCTCGACTACTTTGCAGCCCATAGTTCGGACTAGAAAGTCCCGAGATCGCTCTGAAATCGAAAAGAATAAAAAAGGATTCTCTTATGAAATATCGGAAATACCAGATTAGTGGATTTTCACATGGCAAGACGAAGTGAGTGGAAAAGGGTGGGCTAATTTTACTTATCACGATATCCCAGGTATGTATTGGGTTGTAACATAAGTTCGTAGAGTTTTGCGTTGGAGTTATTTTGCAACGACTTGTTTTGTTTTTCAGCAAAGTNATTTATTATTGCAATTATTGCTTTTTGTTCAGAGAAATCTTTGTGAAAAACTCTACGAATTTATGTTACAACCTAATACTTTGAGTCACCCGGTCACTACATGTGTCAAGGATTCTATGTATGTATGGAATATAGAAACAAGATCCTCCACCCCAAAAGGACTGGCGTTGAACCGTGAACCTTCAGGCCTTGCCGGAAAATTTCGTCCCTGACGAACTGATCGAAAAATCGCTGCGCGACTGCGCGCGTCGTATCCCTCAAGGACTAATTGTGTGAAATAGGGTCGAGAAAATGAAGAAATAAGCATTTCATCGAGGCTTCACTAAGTTCAATTGAATCGATTTATCTGTACACGTGCCCTATAATGTGGTTATGATTATAATCTTTTTGAATTTCTCACATTCTCAAGACCTTACTTTTGATATAAGTAAAAATATACGTCAATAAATACAATAATAAAAATTTCGGATAATTGTAAGAAGTCGTAATTTACCGAACATCCGTAAGTGAGCATATGAGGGTGGATCAAATTGTCCGCATGAGAGTAGGGCCACACGACATCCGTTAAGGCTTGTGCTAGGGTCCGATACCATCACCTGGAACTAGTACAACGAATAACAATGGGCATCATCATTGGGATACGACGACGGTGGTTATGTAGCCACGAATAACATTTATAGCCAAAGGTCACATCGTTGCCGAGTCAGTAATGAGTCAGACTGATCGCTGAAGTCATCAGATCGATTCATTCAAGGTGATTGCAAAGTGATGGAACAGAGAAGAAAAAAATTAAAAATTTTTATTTCACTTCCAATCGATTTTTTCACTCTTTTTCTATTTTGACGATAAATAAACATAGTTTTTGATAAGATCGGTGCTTTTCTTTAAATACACACATTCGTCTTCTACACAGAGTCGTCGGGGTGTTTGCATGTGAATTCGATCTATACAATGAGTTCCAGAGATCTTTCAACGTTCATACCATTCCCCGCAGATACCATACTTACTTAACGATCTTGCAAGGATGGGAAGTTGGATATCCATCCAGGGCCTGACTTTGGATTTGAGTATAGGAGCGGTGTGGTTTCCACTATTTCAGCTTTACCCAAGTCGAGCTTCATAGGTTATTTTGAACATAATTCAGAGACATGGCTCTAACATAGCCTATTAACAGAACTGAAGCTCGTTTGTACTATTTGATTCTGGTGGAATTCATGAAACATTATTCGTATGATGTACATTAAGCACTACGGGAAAGCAGGATTTGGGGTGGACGGTCAAACAATTTTCAAGCACAACACCTATTTGTAATTTGTTCAGCTCTTTTCAGAAGAGCGTTTCTACTTTCATGGTCATTTGATGCTTCTAGATGATAAATAGTAAAAAGATTTCCGGAAAAAACAGCTGATCAATCCGCAAAACTTGAGCATTTTTCACAGTCGTCCTTGACACCCTAGTTTTATTTTTTAGTTTTTTTTTGTATTTTTTAGTTTTAGAGGATAGTTTTATTTCTCCTCTTCCTGCTCAAAATGACAATTACTAATCGTATCAGATTTTTCTTTAAAAAAAAGACCTCGGCAATATCAACAAGAAGGTTTTGGCATTACTCCCTTCCAAATTTGAATTACTTCGAGTTGAACATTCCCGAAAGTATACATCTACAACAGTATATCTATATTCATCTTCTATATCAAAATAGCGAAGATAATGCTCAAATATTTTTTTCATCAAAAAAAAAAACTATGGATGATTGGCCAAAGAGAGTCGATCACTGGTTCCGAAATGAGCGGCGTATTTGATATTTATCGGCAACAACAGAGGAAACGAATGCGGTTCGAGCATATACAACAATTGTTCCGAAGCTGGCCGACACCAGACAAGTTAGTGCTTTTGTTTACATGGGCGAGGTGTAGTGCTCTTGTTTACATGGGCAACGTGGTTGACAAAATTTAGGCCTTGCGGGGCCTAAGAAGGTCGGCTAGGCGTTTGATGGCAGTGCATCTAATTGTTAGCCACCCCTGCTTCATAAGCCATATTTTATTTTTTAGACTTATGTAAGAATACCAATTCAAAAAATGGGTTGAAATCTCTACTTAAATTAGGGCCCCAAAATCTATACCCATACAAACTTGGCATTTTTCTTCTATAGTACATCGCTATGTCATACATTGATATTACCCACAAATCTGGTGCCTTTGAATAAACTGAATATTCTTCAGTTTTTGAAAGAACTTTAAAAGTTTATACCTCTCCAGAAACGTAGGCAATAAAGTTAGAAATTGGTAACTTGGTTGAAACCTAAGTTTTCTGGAGAGAAATGGGCAGTAAGATAACTTGAGTTCAAAGTTCAGAGAGATAAACAAAAGGTATTGATCAGTAAACAAATGCTCTAGAACATAGAAAGTATCCATAAAAAATGGGATATAGCCAAACTTGTAACAGAATGTCAAAGTTTGGGAGGTCGTTGTAGTAATGGGATGGTAATTAGACGAGGGAGTACTAGCGGGAATCAGAAAAGAAGGCGATAACGGTTTTTACTTGGACTTTAAACCAAATGTATGTCGATCGTGAACCGGAAATATAATGATTGAAGAAAGTACACAAGATAGAGCCGTCAAAGAAAATAAATCAGTTGTAATTGCTGACTACTAACTTGGTTACGTGCACGTAACAACGTCTAGAACTGACATCTGTTGAGGATGTCTGACGGGGTCGTGGGCTTTTATTCATTTATTGATAGCTTTTGCTATCTCAAAAGTCATTTTCCACCTACTTACATGGGTTTTTTGCATAAAAATTGTAAGGAGGCGGACTGGTTAGTACTTAGGCGAATATGACAGTAAATTCTATAGAATTCGGCTAGAAAAATCAAAATGTTCGTATCGATATTACATCAGTGTTACATATCAATAAATAAGAAACTGGACAGGCTATGTGTGTAACTTTAGGTTCGAAGATGCAAGGATTCGCAAGAACTTCGTAAAAGAAGTAGCGGTATAATAAATGTATACCCAATACCTTTACGATCAGTCTTGTATATACTTCATTAGTTGCTTTTCCTTTTTATAATTTTTGGTATTTCACATAGAACCCGCCTTCATGGTTCACTCTTCCCCTCGGACATCCTACATCGCCGTGACATACAGCATCACACAGTTATAGGGGTGCTAGGTTTATGGAGTCGTTTATGATCATAATTCGGCATCAGCGCATTTTTTGAGTTCGTGCATCCAAAGACGGGTAGAAAATCCAAGTCTTTTGAAGAAGCATTCAAATAGAATTGAGCAGTTGCGTGATTTCGATCGTTTCGGTATAATAGAGAGAGGAGGGGATGAGAGGCACGAAAGGAGTCTCTTTCCGAGCGCACCCTTCAATTGATGGGTTTATCATCTTCGAAAGTAATTGTCCTTAAAATGAAATGAAATTGAAATGAAATTCAGTAGAGGGTAGAAATTCTGTAGAGGGTAGAGTTGTCAAATGTCACCCTCATGGTATCCATCCACGTCCTGGGTGTTCGGAGTTTTTTGGAAGAAAATTGTTTAGCATCTAGTCAATAAGAAATCGCAAAGGTCAAGATTCAAAGAGACAAAAAGCTCATTATTCGTCAGATATAATAGCGATTAATTATTTGTTATACTCAGATCAGTATTATACTTTGTAATATGGAGAGGTGAAGGGTAATAAACCAATTTTCTTGGCATTATTCAATACTGTTTTGGATGCGTCCAGCCATTTGACTTGTAATCAGAATCGTAATAGCAGCCCATATACAGCCAGCCCATCTACAAGTCTGTGCTTCTATCTTCACAGCTAAGTCGGTTGCCAATTAACCGACCATGGGGTTGAGGCTTGCTGCCTGGGCGATTATCGGTCCGATGTTCGGTTCCCAAGCCATATGTATGCATAGTGCACATCTTACACTATTCCATTACCTCCCAATAAATGAATGTGCTCAAAAAAATGATCGGGAGATATATAATTATGTAAAAATGAAGCAAATCGCAGTTATATTAGAATGGTTTTATTTTTAATAATATATAATTATTACTGATAGTGTCTATTAGTCGTCTAAGTTCAATAGGGAGAAACCTGATGGGAGTGACAGGAAGGAGCGGTCGAAATTTCGTTTGTTGAAATATAAGCCCTATGGAAGAGACTCGGTATCGAAGCGCTAGTGAAAGAATAATTTAATTCTAATTAAGATAGATTTAATTAATTTTTTCTTCCGATTGAGCATTGAAACGAAGTCAAACAGCTCATGGGAGGAAGTCGGCCGAATCCGCAATAATCGAGAAAAATTATTAGAATAAACTAGGTTTTCAAGCTTTCGTCACTGGCGGAGGTAAACTGCTGTCAGCTTTTTCCGGGTAATAATTAAGGAATTTCCCTGGCTCAAGGCTTTTAGGAAGAGTTTTTATGAAAAGCTCTGGGAAAACATAATGAAACACATGAGAACGGCAATAGAGTTATAATAATCAAAATTATGATTATTCAAAATATTAAAACTAAAAGTATTTTAAAGTAAATAGGGTTTGGTTGATGCCGGTAATACACCGGTGTATCACGCGATCCCAAGTAATAATTCTCAATCGTGATACCCCGGTGTACTAGGAAGTCGTGAATAGGCTATTGCCATAAAGGTAAAATGGTCCGAAATAAATAGACATGAACGGAAATCGTTGAAAGCGTCGTTAAGCTCAGAGCTGGTCAGGTGACTGGAACACAGAGAGGTGATGAGGTCTTCCCCTTTGAACAAAGCTGCCCAATCGACTTTTCCCTGAGACTGAATCGTTAGGGTGATAGTTCACGACGCAGGGGTGTAATAGGATGGTGAAGATTGATGAGTACATGAAACGTCATCACATTCAGCCGAACCCCAACCACCTACATAAACACTCGCTCATCAGCTTTTCACAACGGAAAAACACTCGGCATTCCAGTTGGAACATCCCACTAACGATTAACGTGGTCTCAGGGTGCATACGGTATGACATTGAAAAATTGGATTGGGAAAATGTTGTTGTAAACAAAGGGAGGTGGAGGGAAACTGATGGGGTCTGGTTATGAGCTTTGAATGTACTCGGAGTCCACCATCCCTTTGATTTTCTACTTTTACTTTGATCAGCCAGTTTTCATACCTATCTCTCTCACATTTTTTGCCTTCTTTTCGATACTATACCTAACAAATGAGTAAGTCAGTTTACGAGGGGGCGGGAAACAGGTCAGGGGTTCAAAAAGGTACCTGTAAAGAAGTTAGCTACCAAAATCGCAAGCTTATTTTCCCAACTAGCTGGTTTAGGTGACGGACCTCGTTAAAACAACAATAACAACGATAGAATTCATAATCTTATAAGGAAAAAATGAGGATAGCAAATGAAATTCTTAAATAGTGTAAAATATTATTACATACTATTGTATAGAATAAAAATTGAAAATTAAACTTTATTTTGTCAAAAAGGGGAGCAGAAAACAGCAGACGTCGTTAACCAAATCAATCGAAACATCATGGACTTAGTGCAATTCCTGGTCAGGTTGCCTGGGAAGGTTTTTTGCCGAACACGATTTTGGTCACGCCTCTTCTGGATCAGCCCGC